CGCTTAAATCAAAAGTCATGGCAACGATTGCATCGCTATGGGCAGTAAAATGAGCAATGACAGTCTCTATATTCGCATCATCTAACTCTTTTTCCTCTTTTGCAGCTTGAAGATCTAATATCGTAATTACTCCTGGTTGGGTTACATCACTGCCCGTATTATTAATAACTACTGGTGATACTGAATTACCAGTTAAACTTGATGCAACTGTTTCTCCCAAACCACGCAAACCTTTTCCTAAAGACTTTGCTGCGTACAGAACAGTTGCTGTATAACTTTGAACTCCTTCACCTTCACAACCACCACTACTTCTTTTTACAGGTAATAATTTTTTTTCACTAAAAATATTTTTTATTAAAACAAAACATAATAAACATAATTTTAATATCTTATTATTTTCAAGATTGTTACCTGTAAGCAAGCCAGCGCGATCCTAATGCAATAGGATTTGGATTTGGACCAGGACTGGCATAACAGGTAGTAACTGTTAATACATCTTCCAATGTTCGAGCATCGAACACCGCGATTTTCTCTAAAAACGTTACGACTATAGATCGTTTATTTGCCAAAATGTCACAAACAGGATTTTTAAATTTAATGCTTTTTGTTTGTTCCCCAGTTTTCAATGAAATAAAACTAATGTTGCAAAATTGTGGGCCAGGTCCAGCTGAATCGCATATTGCTACCATGGGTCGTTTCAATTCAAATAAATCAACATGTTCATCATCAGTCTTTGGATTTGGTAAAATTCTTAAAGTGCGAACAACTCCTTGTCGCCATGATAAAACTTCAGTTGCTTCTCCTGTTGCTGCTATCAACCATACCTATATTCAATAAAAAATATTAAATAATACTTCACATATATTTTTATACTTAACATAATTAATATGACATTACAATATAAGATAACATTATGCTCTATGTATTTATATGAGATTTGTAAACAAAAAATTGAAATCTTAGATATTCTTCAACTTAAATATATAAATTCTTTTATATCATCAAACTTCAAATATCATATTATTATCTCTGCAAACTACATGTACCTTGTTATTTTGATAATGAATGTGCTTGTTTACATATTATGCCTCCTAGATAAAATAAGATTCAAGTCATTCATAAACACAGACACAGTTTTAGCTACTATGAGAACAGTGTTCTATAATTAAAAATAATATGATAAATCTATAAAATCTTTTCACATTTAATATCTAATACATATACTTAAATTGAAAATAACTATCTAACATACTATATTTATATATATTTATATATATTCTTTTAAGTTTATTTTTTTACAAAATTATTTAAGTTACAAATAATTTTTATAAAAAACAGAAAAAAATTATGAAATTATCTTAATACACAAAAGTTTTTCAATGCACAAGTAATATAACTACTTAATGAAAAAAAAATAATTAAACAAGATCAAACCTGAACTCCAGTTGTATAACCAAGCACCAATAATAAAGGTGGTGTATTAGAGCCTTCATTGTAATCTGGATACAAGGCAGGATCATTAATGTCTGCATACTCAAACCGTGCCCATGAAATAGACTCTTTGTTTTCAGAATTTGGTGTGCCCGTATAAGCCTATATTAAACAATATAATAAAAAACTTTAATAATTAATATAAAAAGTTATCAGAAGAACATTTTAATATACCAACCTGTGGAACAATATCATTAATTATTCCTGCAACACTATCTATAATTGAACGATCAACTATTGGCTGAGGTGACACAATTTGAACTCCTTTATGCACACCACGCCTTGGAGAGTCTGCAGACATTTTTTCTTCCCAAACAAAATATTTTTACCTATAAATAATGAATAATATTATTTATACATTATTATTTTTGTTAATTTATATTTTGATTTACATAATTTATATAATTTACATAATTTATATTTTGATCAAACAAAATTTCTAAAAATTCTTATTCTAGAAATTTTTTCTTCTTTTTTTAATAATTAAATAATACTAAAAATTTATATATTTTGATTATATAAACATTTTTATATATTTGTTATATTCGTTAATATAAAAATATAATAACAAATATGCAAATAAATAAATGTACTGTTTTTATTATAATAACTTTATATTAATTTAAATAATATAAATTCGCAATATATCATTATCTAAAAAAATATTATTTAAAATAATATTACTTAAAAATAATTTAAAATAAATACATGTTATAAATATATGTAAATCAAAATAATATATTAATATAAAATAGATATTTTTCAAGCAATGATTAATAAAAAAAAAATACAGTATAAAAAAATACACTATAAAAAAATCTGTATATATTACATATTAGAAATTAATTTACAAATATAGTATCAAATATATATAAAATATATATTTTTATTAATAATAATACAACAAAAAATCAAGTAAAAAAAAAATTAATAATTAATTGTAGTATCATTATTTATACAACGAAATTTACGAAATATTATCTGTATATCTGATAATACGAAAATGAGTAATAGAAAAGTAGTGGGAGAATCTATTTTGCCTGTTAAAGAATATTACACAATCCACTACAGCTGTTCGTCGTATACATTTAGGGACAATTAATAAAAAGCAAACACAAATATCAAAACGAAAATAAAACAAAAATCTAAATGATTATCATCAGAATGATATAAATATATTAAAAATGAAATATATAAATTAACATTTTGATATATTAAAACAGCGACCCTGACATTTCGTCGAACAAAGGGGTAGAAGGCAGTTTTTCCACAACAAAACTAACACTTCTCTCTGACGTTGTTATTATTTATCTTATGAAAAAATATCTACGTTTTAATAGTTTTTTTAATTAACAGAAAACATAATCTTCAATTTACCTCGCCATAAAATTGTATTTTCATACTGGGAAGCTCGCCATCTCTGAGACGACCTTCTACTGCGTCATTCTATGAGTGACTGATACAACTACAACACAACCAGAAAATAGTGATGTCACCCCGCCCGCGAAACGTCAATCTTTATGTTGGAAATATTTAAGCGCGTCGGTAGTATTCTTTTTTACGATAGATTGTATAATCTGTTGGTTATTTCGACGCGCCGACGGGGATGTTCCGAAAGATCGTTCGTTAAAAGGTATCACGTATCATAACTACGGCAACGGTCTGTTTCGTAGGAAATACGAAAACAATAATCAGCTGATTCAGATAAGGAAATGGTAGGAAAGGAGGGGAGAGCAAAAGAAAAGTGAAAAACGAACTCTGGCATTTATGTTTAAAACATATGTTAATGACATAATCAAAATTAAAATTAAATTTTATTTGTATTGTTGATGTTAAATGTGTTTGTAAAGTGTGTTTGTAAATTGATGATTATATGATTAATTAACCTTTCATTTTAATGAGTTAAAGTTATAAAACTAAATAGCCCTAAATTGATTTTAAAATTTTTATATATTTTTCTTTATTTTTATTTTTATATAAAATATAAATTATAAGAATTCATTTAACATAATGAAATATTGAAAGAATTATTATATGTTTAACAAATAAATTAAACATAATGTAAAATAAAAATAATTTTATTTATTATTATATTGGTAGCACTGTATTGTGTTTTAACCGTAGTTTTAACGTATTCGAGAAATTACGATGTTATAATATTTAAATGTGATAAAATGAATCTTGATGAGTTTTTTCCTTAATATATATTTTAAAGTTTTAATTAAATATTTCACAATATTACAAAATATAATATTATTATTAATAAAAAACATATTATAAACTTATATACATTTTAGACAAAAAACTTTCATTAAAAGGAATTATAAATATAATTATATCAATCAATGTATTGTTTCCAACAAAGTGTATTCATTATTGTTATGAAAATTGCCATAAAAATATAATGATGTGTTCGTAAATTTCAACCACTAGTAACGTCATCTACAATCGAACTGCAATATTATTTAAATTGGCATGTAAGTAACGTCAAATTTTTTTTATTTAAAAAATAATAAAAATCTTACATATAATCAAATATATATTTAGATAAAATATTTTTTTTGTATATATTTAATGTGACAAGAATTATATAAAATATAAAATTAACGAATAATATTTAAATAGATCTCACTAAATTTATTTAAAAAATTTTCTAAATATATAAATATTATAAATTTAAATGCTTAAAAATTTATTATTTCTAATTATAAATTTTTATTTAAAAAAATATTATACAATTTCAATAATATTTGCAATAAATTAAACTTATTTAAAATAATTTATATTTATAATTTATGATTTACAAAAAGTAAATATTATTTCTAAAGTATTTATAATATAAACATATTTCGAACTATTTTATAATTATGATAGAAGTAAGTAGAAGTAAATTTAATAAGCATGAATATTCTTCTTGTTTTATATACAAATATAATAAAATATTAAAACTTAAAATCAATGTAATAATTTTTAAAAGAAATGTATTTTAATGATGTATATTATAATTAATATAATAATAATAATTTACATTATTAATATATTATTAACTATTATTAATTATTAAATTAAATTATTACTAACAATAATATATATTTGCTGCTTGATAAATAAAATATAATCATTAATCATTAATCATTATTAAAATAAAATATCAAATCAAATGAAAAAAAATTAAATATATTGTACTTAAAATAATAAAATATATGATAATAATTAATTTAAATATCGAAAAAAATTATTTTTTTTATTATAATTATATTTTTGCAACAAAATGAAAAAAATTTAATTTTTGTTGTCATAAAATTATATAGAATCAATCAAATAGTCTCGTAATATATATAAAATATGTTATGTTATACATATTCATCTACCTATTATTGAAACAAAAAGAGAAAAATTGTTTCAATTGTTCCATAATCGATTTAATTTATATATAATATAACGATTAAATTTATATCTTTTGACAGAAGCATTAATGTAAGAAAAGTTATCGTTCAACTATTCATGCTGTTCGATAAATCATACTACTTTATGAAACATAATACCAATATATGTTGCTATAATTACAGAATTCAGTATAAGATTAATATTTCATGTCAATACATAGGAAATTCCTACCATGAAATCCTTGATTCTTTAGCGCATTGTAATTATCTGTGCGTGTATTTGTGTAGCGGGAAACTAACTTAATCGGTAGAGTTTGCGTGTCCTCCATGTCACCGATGTCCCCGTACAATAAATCGGAAGACAATGGTTTTCCGACTTCGAAATATACGAAATATTTTCAGTCTTTCTTTGAACTTCGTTTGAAATAGATCAAGCAGATTATAATTGAATTTTAATATCAAAAAATAAAATATTAAATTGAATTTTAAATTGAAATTTGACATATACATATCATAGAAACATGATGAGACGAAAAAAGGTATATTACGTTTTCATTCGAACTTATATCTCTGTTTTTTTAATCATTTTTAATTATTATTATGAATTACAATTAATTTTTTAATCTTTTAACTGAATTAAATTAATTATATTATGTTAATAGATTATATTATAATTATTTAAATTTTAAGTTTTTAAGTTTTCCACATAATTTTGTTTAAATTATTCTAAAATTACTTTCTTTATTTTTGAAATTTTATGATAAACTTGATAACTTATTTTGCATATTAAAAATTTCAATAATTAATTTTTTAGGGTGGTTTAAGTTCTACAAGAAAAATGGCTAAAAAAACAACACCAACGGCATTACAAACTGAAATTTCTAACAACGAAGAATGGGAGAAACTTCTTACAAAAACAGGTTTAATAGGTAAATATAAATATCTATTTAAAATTAGAATTTTTTCCTTTTCTTAAAATTTTTGAAACTTTATATATAAAATTTTTAATAATCTTTTTTAGTGGTTGATATATATTCAGAATGGAGTGGGCCTTGCACAGGAATGATAAGCACTCTCAAAAAAATTAAAATGGAAATTGGAGGAGATGCCTTAAGTTATGCCACGGTAATTTCTAATTGTAAGTTATTAATTTATAAGTAAAAATAAATAATTATTATTATATATTATTACAAATCTAGGCAAAATGTGATTATATTACGGACTTAGAGCGTTTTCAAGGAAAAAGTGAGCCAACGTGGATGTTCATACGCGTAAGTTTAATGTATAATTGATTAGAGAACATATATTATTAAAATAACTTTTGTAGAATGGTCGGATGATAAATCTTGTATTTGGTGCTCAATGCCCACAGTTATTAAAAGTATTAACGACGGAATTGCAACGAGTACAAAGTGGCGAAGAACACGAGTATAATTATATATTTAATTAAAGTGCACTATTATTTACATAAAAAATAAGAATGAATAATTTAATTTTTAATAACAAAAGAAATTATATTCTTATTTAAAAAGAAATTATTTAATAATACATATATTAAAACGATATAATATTCACTTCTTTGATGTACACATATAGGTTTTCCTTAGATATATCGGAAAGAAGTCCAGAAGAAATAAAACGATTAAAAATTATTGAAGAAACTAGAATAGCTAAAGAAGCTGCAAAAAAATCACGAAAAGGTTTTATAAGATAATTATTTATAAAAAATATATATTTATAAAAAATATATGGCATATTACTGTAAAAATTATCTCGCACAATTTAAATAAAATACACTATTTATATTATTTATATTATGATTTCTACTTAAATTTTTTTATTTAGAACTTAATTTCTAATTTTTTTATTTATTTTAAAATCTATTAATTTTAAATTAATTTTTATAGATACATAGAAATATAATTTATAGATATATAGATCATAGAAATACACAATAGTTTGTTATATATGTTTTATTAAAATAATTAAAATTTAATAAATAAATGGATATATTTATTTACTGAATTCATGGTAATAACACTAATGATATATGATATTTTCGCATATATTTAATAGAAGCTGAAGCAAAAGCACGATATGAAGCCGAAATGCTGCATTTAACCACTGTTCTGAGCAATGAAACTTGCCTTTTACTTTATCCATGGGTTTTTAAGGATGAAGAAGGTCGTAAGAGAGATAAAAAATTAAGTCCACCATATATAGAATTAGTTGAAGAAATATTATTAGGAAATTACACTATCGAACAAGAAATTCGAAAACGTCTTAATGATGATATTCTGGCTACGATATTTAATGAAGTAATATATCAATATATTATTAAAAAAATTTTTATTACAAATGAATGATATAAAAAGTTATATAAATAATATTCAAAATTAAATAATTTTACAGTCTGATTACATATTATCGCCAAATGCTAAACAACTGCTTTTAGATGGAAAATGTATGTTCATGCGATTAAAAATTAACGAAACGAAATCAGAAATTGATATTCATAAATATTTATTGAATCTTTTATTTGGAAAACCGGAATTACCCAATAAGGAAACTATTGTTAGCGAAGAATAGTACGTGAATATATACAATAGCTAAATAAAATTATTATTTATTTAAATGCTTATGCTTATTAATATATTTCATAATAAAATTTTAAAATTGACATCAATTCTAATTTAAAAAGATTAATTAATTTTCCTTTGTTTATAGTTACGCTGGTCGACATCGTCCTGCTTATATAACAAACGAAAATGAAAATGAAATTTTTCCAATTGTATGGACACCACCAAACTGTCAAAATAAAACAATTATTTTTCGCACAATTTTTCCTACTTATATTATCAATACATATCCCGTAAGTTTTAAATTTTAATATTTATAAAATAAATATTATGCATTACATGAAATTCAAAATAAATTATATTTAAAATTCAAAGTATGAAGATAAAACTGCAAAGGTACCTATAATAGTATTCAAATATGACTATACAAGAAAGAACGAGCTAAAAGTGGTTTTACAAGAATTTGAAGATGAAGTAGTTAATTTTGGCATTTTTGAATCTGATAAACCACCAGAAGCAAAACTTATAGCAAAGAGTATTATAGATTTTGAATTGAATACGAAAGAAAGAACAGGGTATTAAGAAAATATTAGAAAAATATTTTTTAAAAAATATATATGTTGATATTATTAAGGATAAAAATATGAATTTAATTTTTAGATATGAAACATTTGTATGTGTCGTAAAAAAAGTAGGATGTGAAGCATTTTTAGGATTTGCTGGCATTGGACCCTATCATGTAAGTGAAAATCCAGAAAAAGGTACAGAGGAATCAAAGTTATATTTTCCGAATGTTATTCATTCTGAAGAAATACAATCAGATGATGAAGAAAAACCGGAAGAATTAGAAAATCCAGAAAACAAAAATGAGATAACATGAAATTCAATTGTTCTTGTTATTATATTTAAATTTATATATATATATATATATATGAGCAATGTTATATTTAATATAATTTAATATTATAATGATTTTCAACTTTGTAGTTAATAAAAAGTGAAGGAATTAATAATATATAAAGACGTTATTAAGAAGCCAACATTTATTTTCCAGCCACCTCAACTTAGTATATAAAAAAATGAAATAGACAAAATGCCTAAATATTATAAATCATGTTAAGGCTATGGTACAATAAATGATGGCAAATAAACAAAATTTATTTCTTATAACCACAGCTTCGCCTACGTCCTCTTGCTCTTTCAAACTTTCGACCTTTAGAGCGTACTAATGGTTTTGTATGAGAATGTGGTACACCAGGTGCAGGTCCAAAATGTTTCACTGCTTCGCGAGCTTTACGACGGCCTTGCATTAAAACTGTTCGTTTTCCTGTAGGTGCACGTAATGCTAATTGATCAAAACTAATCAATTCACCTCCAGCTTTTAATATACGAGCTCTAGCTCTTTCAGTAATACGTAAAGCACAAACCTATAAAAAAATTAATAATAAATTTTATTTCTCAAGTTATTGAAATACTTTATTTTAATTATTAATTTGTTATTTTATATAATAATTTGAAAATAAAAATTGTTATTATTACTTACTGTAAGTTTAGGAATTTCAAAAATCCTAGCATCATCTGTTACTGTGCCAACAATTACAGCAATAGCATTTTCTCGTCCAGGTTTTTTCATAAACCTAACTATACGTGCAAGAGATATTGGAGGACGATGTATCTTGCTCATAAAAAGTCTCTTGAGGATGATTTTATTAAACTTAGAATTTGTACGTCTAGCCAGAAAACGGTAAAGCTATAACAAAATTAAAAAATATATTAATATAATTATATTAATAATTTTCATTAAATAATCACAAAAATTTTATTTTTTTATTATAAATAAAAAAAAGAATTAAAATAAAAATGATAAAAAACATATGAATAAATAAAAAATTTTGATAAATTAAAAAAGAAATATAAAATTGATAAATTTTTCATATTAAATAATATAATTTCTTAACATGAAAGTTTTACAAATTTTTAATATTGTATTGTATCAACTAGTATAATCGTCTTTTATATAGAATATAAAGACGGAATAGGAAAGTTGACTGAATTTTTTCTAGCGAACATCAAAATTGGTTCAGTCTATAAGAGAACTGACACAGAGTGCAGTTCGCAAAATAACTTTATTTGCGAATCTTTTTTAAAATCTTTTTTTTAAAATCTCACGTGTTTATGACAACAATAATTTCAATTAAAATATATAATCTATTTATAATGCAAGTCAGAATTTAAAATTATTTTTTGAGAAAAAATAAAGATAAAAATAATTTAAAATTAAAAATATAGTACAAAAGAAGTATTTAAAAATTTAATTATTAAAATACTCACTTTAACGAGAAGTCGCAAGTAGACATCTTGCGATTTAGGTTCTGTACGCCGAACCTTCCTATCGTGTTTATGGTTTATATCAATACCCTGTAAAGGAAATAATTTTTGTTAATTTTTTTTTAACATTTTTAAAATTTGATTAAAAATTTCATTCATTTTAATTGACACAGATGGACCAAATCTCTATTGATTTTATAAATATATCGATGCTATTGAAACATCCTACCATTTTGATAAACCGGAAAAGAAACGGCCGACCATATATGCAGGTTAGATAGAGATTTATAGAAACGGATATAAAAGAGGGCGCTATCAATGAATAAAGTTGATACAAAATGAATACAAATTATATAAAAACTACATTTTGATCAAGTTAAATATATAAATTTATTTTAAATTATATTGCATTTATATATAGCAATATAATATGTTGCTATGCAGAATTAAATTTAATGATAAAAATTATTTTTATTCATTACATAGATTTTGATTGAC